GCTTAATGGGCAGAGCGATGTCAAATGTCACAAACCTGCCATTCCACCATATAGCTGATACAGTGAAGTTAGGCTTCAGGTATATACCCTGTTGTACTGTGCTAATGAGAACTTATGTTGTTGAAATGGGCCCACACAGGTCTATGCAGGGGTGAAAGGCATTCAAAGTCCGTCGACCCCTTATGCCTGTGCCGAGGAAAAGGAGCTGCGCCTACCCTGAGTTCCCGGTTTAGGAAAGCTGGCAGATTTATTCCTGTTTGTTAATTTTTTCCCTCTCCAGTGCTGGGAGAATGGCTCAGGGCGTTTGACGGGTCCTTACTTCTTGCCCAGGGGATGGGGCAATGGCTGAAGGTGGCCCGGGACCAGGTGCAAAGCAGGAAGGGGGCAGGTAAATGGGAGAGATTTTTCTCAAAGGGGTGTTTTTTGATCCTTGCAGTAGGTTAGGTACATGTACTGCTTTTGCCGATTGAGCACTGCTTTTCACTGGTTCTGGAGGCTTGAGTAGACTCTCCGCCGCTTGGTCTCTCCTGATGTGGAAAACGAGTCCTGAGCACCACTGCTTGCCTCACTGTGTGTGCTGGCTGCGGGGTACCGGTTCCTGTCGGGTCAGGTCTGGCAACTCCTTGCTGCTTCTGTAACGTCTCTCCCTTCCCTTGCCACTCAGTCCGATTCCTCAACTCTGCCTTTGATGTTCACGGCTCCTAGATTGTCGTATATAATCGATTCACTTGTTTTTTGGGGTCTTTCTTGTAAGAAGGACCACAGGAAGCATCTGACTACTCCGCCATCTCGGCCCCACCTCGCATAGCATTTCTTGATGTCTTTACCTTTCTTGGAAAATTCTTCAAATACTGCTTTCTGCCCCATTGTTATGGATTGAATTGTGTCCCCCCAAAATATGTGTCAACTTGGCTCGGCCATGATTCCCAGTATTGTGTCATTGTCCACCATTTTGTTATATGATGTGATCTTCCTATGCGTTATAAATCCTAACCTCCTGGTGGCACAGTGGTTAAGAGCTCAGACTGCTAACCAAAAGGTCAGCAGTATGAATCCGCCAGCAGCTCCTTGGAAGCCCTATGGGACAGTTCTACTCTGTCTTATAGGGTCTCTAGGAGTCAGAATTGACTTGATGGCAGTGGGTTTTGGGGTTATGATGTTAATGAGGCAGTTACGTTGATGAGGCAGGACTCAACCTACAGGATTAGGTTGTATTTTGAATCAGTCTCTTGAGATATAAAAGAGAGAATTGAGCAGAGAGGAGAGGGACCTCATTACCACCAGGCAAGAAGAGCCAGGAGCAGAGTGCGTCCTTTGGACTCAGGGTCCCTGCACTGAGAAGCTCCTAGACCAGGGGAAGATTGATGACAAAGACCTTCCCTCAGAGACGACAGAGAGAAAGCCTTTCCCTGGAGCTGGCACCCTGAATATGGACTTCTAGCTTTCTAAACTGTGAGAAAATAAATTTCTCTTTGTTAAAGCCATCCACTTGTGGTATTTCTGTCATAGCAGCACTGGATAAGTAAGGCACCCATTCATAATACCTATTCCTGTCCTCGGAGCGCCATCTTTTTCCTGGAACTCTATTATACGTTAGACATTGTTGTGTGTCTCTTACACTCTTTTCTCTATTTCCCATCCTTATTGCTCTCTTGACTTTCCTTAGAATATTTTCTATGAGACTATCTTCTACCCTACTAATCCTCTCTTCAGCTCTGTCCAGTCTTCTGCTAAATCCATTAAGGAGTTCTTAGTTTCAATAATTGTACTTCTCATTTCTACAATTCCCTTTCTTTTTTTTTTAAAGGGGATTTGGGGCTTTATTGATGTATAACTGACATACAATCAACAGCAAATATATGAAGTGTTCAGTTTAGTAAGTATACATACACGTATATGTATATGTATACACCTGTGAAGCCATCATCATAATCAAGTTATTGAATATAACGATCATCCACCAAAATTTCCTCATGTCTCTTTGTAATTCTTTCCTCATGTCCCTCCTGCCACCCCACTCTCATCCCCAAGCAACCACTGATCTGCTTGCTCTTACTGTAGATTAGTTTGCATTTTCTGAATTTTATGTAAATGGAATCATGCAGTATGTACTCTTTTGTCTGGTTTCTTTTACTCAGCATAATTATTTTAAAATCCATCCATGTTGTTCATTCCTTTTTATTGCTGGGTAGTATTCCATTGGCGCCCTGGTGGCTTAGTGGTTAAGAGCTCAGCTGTTAACCAAAAGGTCAGCAGTTCGAATCCACAAGCCACTCCTTGGAAACCCTGTGGGGCAGTTCTACTCTGCCCTGTAGGGTCACTATGAGTCAGAATTGACTCGATGGCAGTGGTAATGGGTAGTATTCCATTGTATGGATATATCGCAATTTTTTTTTTTTATCTTTTCAACTATTGATGGACATATGGGTTTTTTCCTAGTTTATACCTATTACAAACAAAGCTATGAGTGTTCACCTACAATTGTTTGTATATATATATATGCTTTCATTTCTTTTGGGTAAATTCCCAGGAGTAGAATGTATGGTAGGTATATGCTTAATTATTTTAGGAGATTGTCAAACTGTTTTACCATTTTCATTCTCACCAGCAGCCTATGAGTTCCAGTTACTCCACATTCTCATCGGTACTTGGTATTATCAGTCTTAATTTAAACGTTCTAACAGGTGTGTAGTGGTATCTCATTATGGTTTTAGTTTGCATTTCCTAATGACTAGTGATGTTGAGCATATTTACATGTGTTTATTTGCCATCTGTGTGTCTTGTTTTGTGAAGTGTCTGTTCAAATCTTTTCAAGTAAGTTTTTTAACTTGGGTTGTTTGTTTTCTTATTCTTGAGCTTTGGGAGTTCTTTATGTGTTCTGGATAAATCCTTTACCAGATATGTGATTTGCAAGTGTCTTCTCTCAGTCTTTGGCTTGTATTTCATTCATCACACAAACATTAATCCAAGGAAAGTAGGAGTGGCTATATTAATATCAGATAAATTAGACTTTCGAGCAAAGAAAATTACCGGAGACAGAGAGGGTCAGTCCACAAAGAAGACATAGCAATCCTAAATGTGCACCAAGCAGCAGAGCTGTAAAATGTGTGAAGGGGAAACTGATATAGCCAAAATGAGAAACGGGCAAATTCACAGTTATAGTTGGAGACTTCAACACTGCTCTCTCAACAAATGATGGAACAGCTAGACAGAATATCAGCAGGGATGTAGCACTCAACGCATTTTATAAAGTTAATATTACCCTTATGCCAAAACCAGACAAAGACAGTACCAAAAAAAGAAAACCAAAGACCAGTATCCATCATTAGTATACATGCAAAATCCTTAACAAAATAGAATTCAGAAGTATATAAAAATAATTATACACAGTGACAAAATAGGCTTTATTCCAGGAATGCAAGTCTGGTTCAATATTGAAAATCTGTCGGTGTAATCCAGCAAATTAATAGGCTAAAGAAGAAAAATATCACACGATCACATCAATAGATGCAGAAAAATCATTTAACACAATTCAATATCTATTCATGATAAAACCTTTTAGAAAAATAGGAATAGAGGGAAACGTCCTTAACTTGACAAAGAACACCTAGAAGAAAAAAAAAAACAACTAGAGCTAACATTATACTTAATGATGAAAGACTGAATGCTTTCCCCCTAAGATCAGGAACAAGGCAAGGATGTCCACTCTCACCACACTCATTCAACACAGTGCTGGAAGTTCTAGCCAAGGCAATAAGGCAAGAAAAGGAAATAAAAAGCATAGAGATCGGAAAGGAACAGAGCAGGCCAGAGCTCTAGAGGCTGGAGCAGGCAGTTCAGTTGCTGGATTGGGTGTGTGTGGGGTGGGGGTAGGGCAGTCATGCCATTGTTGGGAGGAGGTAGGTGCTAGATCCAAGGACTAAGGGTGGAAGGAGCTGGCTGGAAACGGGGGCTGGATCTGTGTATGTGATCCCGCATGATGTGGCCAGAAGTGGAAGGAAAGAGGGACTTACAGGGTGGCTCACAGGGACTTTTTCTGAGGTGAGGTGTTCGTGTCTGGTGGTGCAGGGAAGGGTTCGTGGAGAGGGGTCTCCACAGTGAGGAGGGTCTGAGCTTTGGGGACTGAGGGAGGCAGTGGGAGGAGGCCAGGCCTGCCTGTGTTGTGAGCCATTAGTGCTGGGACTTGGTTATCTAGCGGTTATTGTTTTTACCACGGAATGGACTGCCAGAAGAATGAACAAATCTGCCTTGGAAGAAGTACAGCCAGAATGCTCCTTAGAAGTGAGGATGGTGAGACTTCGTCTCATGTACCTTGGACATGTTATCAGGAGGGACCAGTCCCTGGAAAGGACACCATGCTTGGTAAGGCAGAGGGGTCAGCGAAAAAGAAGAAGACCCTCAACAAGATGGATTGACACAGTGGCTGCAGCAATGGGCTTAAACATAGCAACAATTATGAGGATGGTGCAGGACCTGGCAGGGTTTCGTTCTCTTGTACGTGGGATCACTACGAGTCAGAACCTACTCAACAGCACCCAACAACAGTTGCTTTTGTGAGGCTGATGGAGAGTGTCACCAGTGGGATTGTTCCATCTGCTGCCCCAGAGGCTGCAGCGGCGCTTATGGTGCAAGAAGTGAGTGATTGGAGATGCTTTTGAAGTAAATCCAAACATTGTGCTTATGTGTGGACCAGTTTAACTTGAATGTGTTAGAGGAGAAACGTTACCTATGCTGCATTCTTGATCCAGCTGAGAGCAGCGTTAGCCCATTCTGTACCAAGACCCTTCAGCACAGGGCTTGTCCCCAACCCTCTGCCTGTCCGTGGATAATACGATTATCCCTCCTTCTCCTTTCCTGCTTGTCCCAGAAAGTGTCTACCCAGCTCTCCCCTGACCCAGCTAATTTCGCTTCCTCTATGCCGGTACCCGGTGTGTATATGTTTGTACACACGTGTACTCATGCCGACTTCCTCTCAAATCCTCTTTTGCTTTGTTTTACAGATTATTGGCTGCCAGGTGAGGAGAGACCCTCCTGACTCCACTGAGCGGTACACGCGCTGGATCAACCAGATGTCGGCCGACCAACTTCTCACCCAGGTGCTCGCTCTGTTCCTTGTCAAACTTTATTCCCTGTACACTCCACCACAGCTTGAGCGTTTCTGGGAACAGTATCTACCTCAAGCCCTGAGGAGCTGTTCCTACCTCGTGTTGCCATTCGTGTTTGGATGTTTGTGGGAACCGTCCAGCATGGGCCTTTGGGTGTGAAGATACGGGGCTGCCTGTGTGGAAATTGGTATTTTAGGGTTTTCTTCATGCAGTGGTTCAGGCTTGCTCACACGTGGACCTGGAAAACCAAGTCTGGGTTTTGTGGTGTGCCGAGCCCACGTGGCTGCAGGGTGTCCACGGGCGCTTGGGCTGGGGGCAGACCCTGTGGTCGTGTGTGTCTGTTTTCTGGGGAGGAACTTTCTGCCTTTTGTCAAAATCTGAGGGGGATATGGGGATATAGATAGACGCCTGTCATAAGAAGCACTGGTAGAAATTACATATTTGTTTTGTTTTGACCTTTCTCGCAATTACCAAATGAATAGGAATTTGAGTGCCATCACACTAACTGCTTCACCGAAACAGCAAGAATAGAAAATGACTTTGGGGTTTTGTCATTTCATGCTTAGAAGTGGTTGTGAGATAAACCTGTAAAACTTCCCTCCCAGTCTTCTGAGCCTTGAGTTTAGGAATTCTTGGCTGAGGCTGGCAGTGGGCACAGAATGAGCAGGGGGTTTCCTTCTGGTGCCTCCATGTCCCTTACCAGCAGTGTCTGCTGCCTTGTTACTGTGCAGCCTCTTGTCCCCCCAGTTCTCCCCCAGTCCCCCTCCCGCTTGCCCCCCTCTGCTGTCTACCCCTCTGCTCTACCCTCCTCCCACCCCCCACCACATTAGAAGGAATAGAAGGATATCCTCCTCCCTGTTGTAGGCAGCAGGGAATCTGGCTCTGATACTAATGTGGGGAGATGCCCCCCTCATGCACACAACATTATGGGTTTCCTGCAACACTGTCCTGTGATGAAAGAGACGATTTTTTTAAACTCCGAATCCTGAGAGTGTAATTTCGATCTGCAGTAAAACTGAAATTTCGGCAAATGCAGTGATTTATAATGATAATTAGCATCTGAAATTTGTGTTGCTCGTGAGTGTGGCATCAGCTGTCCCGCTAACTGAATTCAAAGTGACACAAAACCAGCCCGTCAGTTTAACGATGTCCAAGGTGTGTTTCCTCGTGGTGGTACCATTTCGTATGTTTCTTTGGAGAATCCAAAATCTCTGTCCCTTCACCATCAGTAGCAGGTCTGGGCCAGCCAACCACTAGATACTGGAATCGATGGGCTTTGCTCCCATCAGGAAAATCTGCTTCATGGACTTTACATTCTCCCCGTCACACGTCACGTTCTCTCCATCACACTCTACATTCTCTCCGTCACACGTCACGTTCTTTCCATCACACACTACATTCTGTCTGTCACATGCTACATTCTCTGCATCACACTTTACATCCTCTCCGTCACACGCTGCGTTCTCTCCGTCACACGCTGCGTTCTCTCCGTCACACGCTGCGTTCTCTCCGTCACACGCTGCGTTCTCTCCGTCACACGCTACTTTCTCTCCGTCACACGCTACGTCCTCTCCGTCACACGCTACGTCCTCTCCGTCACACGTCACGTTCTCTCCGTCACACACTACATTCTCTCCGTCACATACTACATTCTGTCCATCACGTGCTACATTCTCTCCGTCACATGTCATGTTCTCTCCATCACCCGCTACATTCTGTCTGTAGCACATCGAGTTCTCTCTTGTCCAGGCCACATTCTTTCCCATCACAGGCTGTCTCACAAACAGCCCATTTTCCATATAGATTTATTTCTTGTATATTGGGAAGATGAATATTTCATTAGTGGCCTTTCATAGGTAGGAACTGGGGAAGCTAATGTATTTTCCAACTGCCACCAGCCCGTCACCTGGCTCATTTCTTCCCTCAGTGAAGGCAGGAGAACAGTCAGTGTGGGTCCAACGGCCTCTGCAAACATACCTCAAATTACACGTGGGAAACTTGGAGCCAACAGGATTCTTTTTGGTGGCAGTAGCGGTGGGGATTATAAAATTATTCATAGATGTGCCCACTAGATGTTGACAATTAGGTGGAACAAAGCGGCTCTGTGGCCTCCAGGAGCCCTGTCTCATGGGGGGCCAGCTGCAGCCACACAGCCATTTCCTGCACATGAGTCATCCCCATAGGCCCCTTATGACACAGGCCCCTCACGACCCGGAACCCTCATGGACATGCACCTGTCATGGACACAAGCCTCTCATGACACAGACCCCTCAAGGACATGGGGATCTCAGGGATACGGTCCCTCACGGACATGGACCCCTCACTGCACGGGCCTGTCATGGACACAGGCTTATCACGGACACAGGCCCCTCACAGACAGAGGCCCTGCATGACATGGAACCCTCATGGACACAGGCCCCTCACAATGCAACACCCTCATGACATGGACCCCTCAGGGACGTTGGCCACTCGTGACATGGTCCCCTCATGATACGGGCCTGTCATGGACAAGGGCCCCTCACGACACAGAGCTCTCACGGACACGGCCCCTCACAGACATGGGCCTCTCACGACACAGAACCCTCATAGACACAGGCCTTTCACAGACATGGGCCCCTCACGACATGGACCCCTCAGGGACACGGACCGTTCATGACATGGGCCCCATGACATGGACCCTTCAGGGACATAGATCTCTCATGATACGGGCCCACTTGTGCCTGTCTGCGAAGAGGGGAGTCCTGAAGGGGCCCTACTGGAGGAGGTGCAGTGGTGTTGCTCTGCATTAATACGGTGTCAGGTTTCTCAGCAACAGCTTAAGAACCCTTCTCTTCTCAAGGCCAGGAGGCATCTGAAGGAGAAACAGTGTTATCACTGTGGTGCATCAGATTCTATATGAACTGGAGGTGGAAAGATTGTTTCAGGTTTGCATACCTCTTCTCATCGTTTGAAGGAGCCCTGATGGTGCGTGATTAAGTGCTTGGCTGCTAACCGAAAGGTCAGCAGTTCGAACCCACTAGCCACTCTTCGGGAGAAAGATGTGGCAATCTACTTCCATAAAGATTACAGCCTTGGAAGCCCTATGGGGCAGTTCTACTTAGTCAGTCGGGTTGCTATGAGTCAGAAGCGACTCGACGGCAACAGGTATCTCATCGTTTAGTTGGCGTGTAGATCTGAGCAGTGGAGTGTGTAAGCCCTTGTTACACGTGTGGAAATGAGGGTATGGTCCGGTTGCTCCAGAGTTTTTCCCTGCATCCATCCATGGGTGGATGCGCAGCGGGTCTGGGTTGTGCCGCCTCTTCACAGACACACGTCCTTAGGACACAGGTGGGTTTTTAAATTTAGTATCTTTTTCTTAACAAAGGAGCCCAGCTGACACGTAGGGGCAGAGAGGTGGAGAAGTAGCAAAAGCTCTTCTGTTCCTAACTGGGAAATGAAGATTCCATGTCAAGGTGAGAGTGTTTCTCCTGAGACCCGCCGTGGGTCCCTGCTGACCACCCAGCATCAGTCCCTAGGACAGGGAGGCTCAGCGCCACGTTGGGCCAGAGCCTCTGGTCACACTCACCCAGCCAGTGTGGGGAGAGGGAAGTGAGCAGAGAGCGAGCGCCTCGTGCTGTAGCTGCTGAGCCCACACTTCTAAAGTGTTTTTGATTTTCTGGTAGAAATGTGAGTCATGCGGAAACTATGTGACTGAACACTGAGAATACGATTTAAAGGTCTGTTTTGTTGGAGTAGCCACATTTTCAACCAGGAATATTTGTTTCAAGTCAAGGAATAATAGGATAACTTAGCTATTAATTTTAATAGAAATAATTAAGGTAGCTTTCTCTTAACTAGTATTTTTCATTAGCAAGGCAGGGGAAATTGAAGTCTGAAGTTTCCTAACATAAACTGAAAGATGTCTCTTATTTAAACCGTTTCTTAACCATTTTGGTTGCAGAAATCACTGCAACTAATTAATAAAGTGACTCAGCTACACGTCGTGGTTTTGTCTCTGGTCTAAACCAAATCACATGTGTGATGTGAATAGTAGGCATATTTTGTTTTGATATTTGGTATGTCTACTTGAAATGTTTGATTAGACATTTACCATGTTCAAAGCAGAGTGAAAAGAGAGTACTGTAAAAGCTAAAACTCTGCTAATTTCTGAGAAACCAAAAGGAGAAAGTTATCCGTACCTAGGGGCACACGTCACCTCGAAAGTGCTGTTCGTGGAAGTGCCCACTCCGTGACTGGCTTAAATGATGTCCCTTTTCTCACTGAGGCTGTTACCAAGATACCTGTGTCTCCTGAATCCCCCGGGACTGAGAGGTGTAGTCGTACTGATTCTGGGATGTCCTGGGTGGGGTCCTGGCAGCTTGAAGAAGGGGGCTGGGCAATTAGCTAGGCAACTGTGGGGTACTACCTGGGGTGCATCCTTGATTTGCATTACTTAACAAAGGGAGAGGAGACCAGTGGGTTTGAGTGTGACACGGGCCCAGCCCAGTGCTCCACCTCATGCTCCCACGCCTCCCACGCCTCCCACTCTTGCTCCTCGTGGCTGTCTGTCTTAGTCATCTAGTGCTGCTGTAGCAGAAATAGCCCAGGTGGATGACTTTAACAAACAGAAGTTTGTTCCCTCACAGTCTGGGAGGCTAGAAGTCCATATTCACGGTGTCAGCTCCAGGGGAAGGCTTTCTCTCTCTGTTGTCTCTAGAGGAAGGTCCTTGTCATCAGTCTTCCCCTGGTTGAGGAGCTTCTCCATGGAGGAACCTTGGGTCCAAAGGATGCGCTCTGCTCCCAGCACTGCTTTCTTGGTGATATGAGGTCCCCACTCTCTGCTTGCTTCCCTTTCCTTTTATCTCCTATAAGATAAAAAGTGGTACAGGCCACACCCCAGGGAAACTCCCTTTGCATTGGATCAGGGATGTGACCTGAGCAAGTGCGTTACATCCCACCCTAATCCGCTTTAACATAATCTAACCTTGCCTCATTAACCACAGGCAGAGATT